AAGGCTCTGTGGAAAGCAGATGTTTGCCCTCGGGCGGGGGCTGCAGAGGCCGATGGAGCGGGAGGGCTGCGGGAGGAGCGCGGTGCGCTGGCGGAGCCGCGCACAGGCCGAGCGGGGAACATCCCCAGCTTCGAGGGTTTCAGCCATTTTTGCCTCAAAGGCGTTTTCAGGTGCCTTGAGCCGGAGGCTGGAGCATTGGAGCATCTTTAGACATCTGGCGAGAAGAAATCAGGTAGCTGCGCTTGTGTTAAGGAAGACAAGGGGAACTCGAGGGGGTTTTGTTTATCCGGGAGACTGGAAGTGATGCATTTCAATTAGTGTCTGATATGAGGGGGAGAGGAGCTTTAAGAAGACAAGCATTCTGATTAAAATTCAGCCTAACAGAGGACAGTAAGTGGTACTTACTTGTGGTTTTTTTTGTTGTTGGCGGCTTTGGGGTTTTTTTCTCCTAATTAAACCACACCGTGCAGCCATTTAATGAAACGGATTCAAGGGAAGAAACAAAATCGGGTTGCTTCAGGTGGGAAACACGGTGCACAGTGAGTTGGAAGCCTTTTGTCTTACGGTGCAAACAAAACACATCCAGGTTGTTCGGCAGGCTCTTATTGTTGATTTTTCAGGCAATGAAATAATAGAGCCTGGAAAACACGGGTCCTGGATGAAGAGTTCTTGGCTTTTAGACCAGAGCTTTATAAATAGCATAATAAACATGGAGGGGGTGGATGGTGTAGTGGATGACGTATTCTCATCAAATGAAAAAGTGGATTAATTTTGTTTGCAGCGACTGTTATTTAATGTTACAGAAAAATGCAGATCAGCAAATTGATTTCTGCAGTTTGCTGCTTAATATTTCTTTAAGAAGAGAAGAACGTATTCACCCTATTCCCTCCCTGGCTCCCCCCACCCAGTCTGCAGCTGGCTAGACTTCCAGCTGCCCCTAGAAGCTGTGGTAGTAAACTGTATGAAGTCCAATGGTAGGATCAGATGTTGTTTCCACCATGTGTGTAGGACTTCTTTCCCCCCAGTATAATTTATAATCAAATTCCTTTCATTTTGACAGGATGAGAGTGGCTGCCACTATGATAACTACCTTGCTTTGCAACATGATATTTCTGCTGGCATTTGGATTGGCTTCAGCTTTTAGCCACAGCCCGAGGACACCTGACAGGGTTACTGAAGCAGATATTCAGAGGCTCCTCCATGGGGTTATGGAGCAATTGGGCATTGCCAGACCCCGGGTAGAATATCCAGCACATCAGGCTACGAATCTTGTTGGTCCACAGAGCATTGAAGGTAGCTAATTTCTATTTTGAGTTATGATTAACTTCTTAGTATACTTTGGTAACAGTGTTTTGTTTTTAAATGCAGAAAGAATATCTTGAGCTTAAAGTCATAGACTGCTTCACCATGTTGTTGTTTGATTTTTGTTTTAAAATCACCATCCACCTTCCACCTTCCTTAATGTAATGGCTTTGTCAGAAGTATTGGGCTTTTTTAAGGTACAGGCTTTGCAGAAAAAGTTATGTTGTCTTGGCATTGTCTAATCTCTAGTGCCTCAAAACAATGGGTTTGCTAAATTTTTCCTGAATACTATGTATAAATATATTGCACATGTATTTCACATGAAACAAATGTTATCTGTAGAGCCCAAATTCTATGGATATTTAGAAACATTTGCAAACCAGAAGAGGTCAATTGGTTGTGGTGCCATGTGAAATAAAGGGATAAACCTTACACTGGGGGTGCTTCTCTCCCTGTGTCCACAAGTAGCACTTCAAAACCATGTTTCAGGGATGAATGCTCTGGGCTCAACTTCATTGTTTTTTTGGCCAGTACCTCTGATCTCACACTGTGTAACTTTTCCTTGGAGTCAGTCTTCTATAGTTATGTAAATAATTTTAAATATCTGGCTCAAATGTTAGGATATTTGGATAATGTTTCAGAGTGTTGCTATTTTAACTGAACAAACCAGCTTTTATTTTGTCATGACAGCTAAAGGTTGAAGGTATGAAACTCCAAATATTACTGTTTATGTGTGAACATCAAAACAGGGCAGAATCCCTCAACCTCCCTCTCAGAATTAAGTCAGTCTGACACAGTGCAGTAAGGCCTCCCAGTTCATAAGTCTATGTTTTCTGTTTTATCAACATTCTGATTTGCAGACTGTCCTACCCAAACAGGTACAATTGCTTTAATTGAGAACAAGGAGAGGACTAAAGCTGAATAGGCATTTCTTCCAGATAAATGCAGACCTAAGTTTATATATTTTCCAAAGAAACTTTGATGGACACACATTTTTCTGCAAACTTAAATAACAGATACTAGTTTAAAGAGCATTATTTGGTGTGTACCCTTTTCTCCTTTAAGAATGTTCATGCATAGAGAAATTGGGATAGATGGTAGAAGTGAGTGATTTTACTCTCTTTTCCTAGACATTTTTTTTTTAAAAAAAGGGAAACCTTAGAAAATATAAGCAAATATAAATCTATGTAAAATATTTAATCTTGGCTGTTTGATATTAGTTTCTAATTACGGTGTTAGCAAAACCGGTCTGTGCATCTCTTCATATAAGTATCAAAAGTTTTCTAGTGTTTGTGAGGTTGAAGTAATTGCTAGTTTTCCAGTCATCCCTACAGTCTTCCACAAGCAGCAGGTTGGACAAACATTTTTTTGTTTATCCATTTATTTTTTTTTTCAAATTAAAAAAAATCCATCTATGTATGTAACAGAGTAAAACTGAAATCCAGTTGATCTATCATATTTAACTCTCCGTCTTGCTTAGATGAGGATGACTCTCTTTCTGGTTTTTGGGGGTTTTTTTCAAGCCCACAATGGATATTTAACAGTCTATTGAGAAATTTCTGCAAAAGTAATATGGTCTTGTGGGGTGAATGTTGTCATTCAAAAATAGGCAAGCAAAACAGAATGAATTTGAATGAAATGTTGCTTTTTATTGAGTATTCTGTGGTGAGTTTTTCAGATAGTAACTACTTACTCTTCCTTTGGTTTCTTGGGTGATGTGTGTCTGTCTCTAGGTATGTATGTCTAAAAGCATCTGATTAGAAACTTCAACCTAAGAAAGTGTTGTTTCCAGTTTCAAGGTTAATGTGGTCTTACATCATTGAACAAAATATTTTCTCATACTGCTGTTTTAAACAAGTACATATAATTCAGTGAATTTCCACCGTGAGTCTATTTTTAAATATAGACCATGAATTATAGGATAGCTAATCCATCAAAACTTGCATTTCATTCTGGAAAAAATAAGTCCATATGTTTTTAGATAATATCAGTACAAGGTTTCACATTCTGAAGAATTCACCTATGGACTTTCCATAATATAGTCACACTGTTTTCACTGGCTAATAATTTCATATGCAAGTGCTTTAAAAATTCTACATGATAATAGAAAGGAAATCTAAGGGGGAAGGAAAGAAAGGGGGTTCTAAGTTATTAGAATATATGTTAGCAAAACAGGGTTTTCATCATAAATACCATCATGGCAAAGTGGTAATTCACCAACTACTCTTCTGAACTACTCTTCTGTCTTCATTGGGATTTACTGAAAGTAAAAGTTGGACAGTTAAGTTTGGTATAAAATGCTTATTATTTATCAGAAATTCTGAGCTGCCAGAAGCGTTGACTTCCAACCACTTTTCAGACTGCAGGTTCCAGTGACCAATGTAAAAATTTTAAAACTGGGTTCATTCCATGCCTGCATTCTCATCGTTAAGGCCCTGACTTCTCTGGAGTGCATTTGTTTCTCATTTTGACTAGATACTGCATCTCAGCATAAAAACAACCCCCTATCAATTAGACCTGAATACATTTAGGAAGTTCCTGCAGAAGATGGTTTTACTTAAAAGGTTTTTGTCAGAAATAGCCCCAGCAGCACAGACCTGCAGCACTGTTGACAGCTGTCACTGCCATCAGCTTCAGCTGAGCCACGGTTCCAGAGGTCCCACTCACTTTGAGAAGGCCAAGAATTCACCCACTGTATGTGTAGACTTGCAAGCAGCATACTGTCAGGAATTTGGGAGCAAATTTAGGCTGCTGTAATATAAACAGGTTTACTCTAGCAACCTGGTTATAATGAAATGTTTTTTAATTTGAATTATTGTTATAATAACATTTCCCATGTTATTATTATTTCCATGAATACACAACAGAAATATTATTGCTGTTAGTTCACAAGAAGATTTCCTGATCATGCTTATTTTCTATCTCAGTTTTTTTTCTGGTGCTAATCATTGTATTTTGACTTTAAAATGCTAAAAAACAGAGGGTGGATGTGTTGTAAGAAACTGTACATGATCATTCCCTCCTTATCTTCACACCCACCCTATCCCTTCCCCCCTCCAAAAGAAGTTTAGTGCTGACTTGGCTGTAGAAAGTTCAGTCAAAAACATATTTAATACCGAAGAAAACTAAAAAAGAACACTTTTCAGAAAATACATTTAGTAGCATATGCTCTCTTTTTGAAGTGACCAGATAGTTTTCTTGTTGATGGATAAAAAAAACCCCAGCTCGTTAATTGAAAGAAATTTCTGCCTTTTCTTGTGCTGAAATCTTTAAACACATGACTTTTTTTTTTTATTATTTTTTAATCTTCTCCTTTGTGTTTGTCAATTTACTGTTACTTCAGGTCAGGCTGCTAAAATAGGAGTAGTGTCTAGAAAATGCCTGATAGAAAGTTTAATGTACCAGGAAATTCCTGTGAAGTTCAGGGAGGTGCAGAGGCAGTGTGAGGTCTCTTCCTTTGCTAGGGCTCTTCTAGTTAAATATAAATAGGACAAATATATCCCAGAAGTGGGAATTTTCTAGCTGATTCCCTGTCCTGGTGTACTGCAGCCAGCGCAGGGTGCATGGCATAGCAGCATGGCAGGAGCCAAACAGAGCCTGCCTGATGAGTGTCAAGTGAAAGCATTTTTAGTGGCTGAAAGGGGTGTCTTGGGAGCAGGTGTTGTTTTGCTGGCCACTTAATAGATTTCTCTTTCTGTACATCCCCTAATTCCAAAAAGTAATAAACTTGTTATTATCTAGTCTAATTTCTCTAATAATATTCACTCTCCTCCTTAATTCATCTTATCAGAAAGCTATATTGGAGTCCCTTAGCAGCATCTATAAAAAGACTGGAAAACATAGAAAAGCAAATTAGGAATTTTTAATGAGTAGCTGTGTTTCTGTGCTTACTGCACAGCTTATCACTAAAATACTATGCAAGCCTTACTGGGATATAATCAAGCTTTCTGCAAATATGAGGGGGTCTGCATCTATGTTAAAAGAGGAAAAAAAAGAGTAAAATAAAGAAATGCATTCAACATTTCAAAAAACATAATGTTATTTTTTCTGTCTGGCAGTGCATTTATGAAGTAACAGACAACATTTCTTTTTCTTTCCTTGCATGCTTACAATTTTGTGCCAATATTTAAGGGTGGTTTTTTTTTGTTTGTTTGTTATTGTTTGGTTTTCAGTTGTTTTCCTTTTTCTGAAGAGTGGAAGAGAATAAGCATATAATGTAAATTTCAGGCCTTTTATACCCTGCATAGGACAACAGTAAAAATCTCACTAAAACGCACGGGGGCACCAGTAGCTCGTCTTGAACAGTTTATAGCACCTCATAATTGGAAATGTGAAGTCCCATTTTCCTTCTGCAAATATTGCCTACCATAAATTCAGTACAACAGGAAACCTCTTGTGTGGTTTGTTTGTTTGTGTTTGATTCAGTTGTTTTTATTTCTTAAAACCACTTCAAACAAAAGGATTGCTGCTAAAGGTATTGGCATGACAGCTCAGAGTCTGAAGTCTTCAGTCTGCAGAAGAGGAATAATGCTGTCAACCTCAGTGACAGCTTTAAATGATGTCTCTAAAATTGTGATTGTTTGTAGGTATAAGGAAATTTTAAAAATACAGTGTCTCTTAGGGAGGCTTTTTATTCTCCTGCAGAGACTCCTCGTAGCTACTGGGAACAGGCTGGGGTTTATTTGATTATTTTGAACGGAAATAAGTATGTTTATTGCTTTAGAAAAATTGTAGTTACTGTTTCTCAGATTGAGATGATAAAATTCAAGAAAGTCTGGAACATTATGCAAATATGTCTACTAACAACTAGTAATTAATGACTTGTCAGCACAGACTCTGTAACACTCTACATCACACCTACTGTCCATAAAATTATGTAGATTCTTATGCATGGTAATAGTGTCTATTTTGTTTGCATTTTACTAATAAGAAAAGTCAGGGTTTTCTTATTAGTAAATAACTGTATTACTTTGCTGTCTGTCCTGTTTCAT